AAACGTTAAAGGAAGGAAGAATCAAGACACAGAATAGGTAGAAACAATGAAACTGATTCTTATCGTATTTACAAATGAAAATGTAAGGGTTTACCTGGTTTGAGGATGAAAAGTCATGTGTTCTATACTTTCTCAGATACACAAAGGTTGTTTTTAGGATGGTTCTCGGACAAATATGCCACTAAGTGAAATCTTTCCCTGCTGATATAGAAGACCAGAGCTCTAAAGAATCTAATCTTAAAGTTGCAGTCTTGCGCCCCCCCCCCCCCCCTTTTAAAATGTATCCAAAAAAAAAATGCAGAACAAGCTCCAAACCATTAAAATATTAGGCTAACATCTAGTTCCTGTGGGAACGTTCTTAGGAATAAGTCTGGATTTTATTGCGTCTCTGTCATGTTATGAACACGTGACCAGTGGTCTGTCTTTAGCCTGTTGTATACAAACTCTATTCAAATGAGTTCAAAATGGTTTTGCACTCATGCCTTTGGAGCATAAAATGAGCAACTTAAATCACTGACGGATTCTACCCTAAAGAGACCCATCCTAGAAAGACAACTATGATGTGCTGCTGTAAGCTTCAAGAGAAAACAAATTCACAGGAAACCTTAAAATAATCAGTGTTGACATGGATGTGGTGTGATCAGTGAAGCATAAGTGATAGTGTGGTAATGGCTGCAAAGCATCCATGCAAAGGAGATGCCTTCCTCTTTACTGCAGTTGATAATCAGACAGCTGAATCCTTCTTCTGGAGTCTTACTACGTTCCTGGCTTCAGTTATATAGATAGATATCTATGTGTGTGTATATGTGTTTATACATATATGTATATAATAAGCTCTATCTGTTAATTTTGTGTTTGAAAAGAAAAATATTTATTTTAAAATCAATTAGATTTAAGAAGTCATACACTTCAGAAAGGGATGTGGCTTGCTGAAATTAAAAAATCTCCAATTTGTGGCTTTAGGTAGACAATTCCGGTTACAAACCGACCACGTGGAAGGGTTATGACGCACTGGGAAGTTTTGCTGGTTTACTTGCATGTTTCCATTCATACTGACTTGGATGGTTGAAGTAGGAAATCTTTCCTGTTTATAAGACAAAATGAATAGCGCTAAGATGAAATAATTATTCAAATCTCTATCATAACGGCGTTCAGACTCTGAGAACTAGTTGCCTGAATTTGTACAGGCTTACATGGTAGGCTTTGATCTGGCGCGAGGCCGTTGTTTGAGAACGGTGTTCTTTAAAGTACTGTGATGAAAAACTAAACGTTCTTCTTAGCTCTTGATTAATGAAACACGACTGTGCCTCACCCTTAATATTAAATGGCGTTCGAAAGACGGCGTTTTGTTGAGACAGCCACGTAATCACAATAACCACACCTCAGCGATTCGGTTGAGAGAATGTAGCAGGCTTGTAAAGAGGGAATTTGCTTAGGAATTGTGTCCTGATAAAAGCAGGCTATGCTCTGGTCTCGGGATAAATTTTTCCATTTCTTAGGGAAAAAAAACTTACCATCTAACGTAGGAGGAAGAGCAGTAAAAAGCAGGTCTGAAATGACCAGTTGTGGTTGGTTTGCTCTCCCCCCGCCCCCTTAAAAACAAAACAAAAGCTTAGCAATTCATAAACACAGGCTTGCTTGAAAATTATTCTTTAGGTAATGGAAAAATAGCTGTATGTAATAGTTGGTAACATCCAGAATCTGTTCAAGAATGTTCCACACAAAGATGAAAGATAAATTTTGTTTTTGAAAATTCATAGCAAAGAAACTAATCTAGATTCCAGTCGGAAAAGATCATGGGTTTAAATTAGGTCCCTCCATGAAACGTGCCTTCAAATTAACCCCTTCCTTTTCTAAAACCTTCTCGTATTTTATGCGCGAATCCTGAGGTTTCCCAATACAGGATAATAGTGTGTAATAAAAGTTGCAACATAATGTTAAAATATTTTCAGAAATTGACCCAGCACCATAACAAGTCTGCACGTTTGTGTTTTTAACCCTCCTCCTTCCCGCAGAGCAGGCAAATAAACAAAACCTCCAGAAGTGCGTGCTGCAACGGGGTGATGTTGCAATTTAAAAGACTTATTTTCCTGTGTCATGATAAATGTGACTGATTCTGTAGGAAGTGTTATCCAGAGTTCTTCTATTATTGTTGTGCAATAGGAAGCTGAAAGAACAAAATAATTGTCTTGATACCAGCTGAATTCTTTGCGTTAGCAGCCTCTTTCTTCTCTTTCCTCCGTAGAAATGCATTTCAGTTGTGTATCCAAACAAAGCTATTCTGTCTTCCTAAATGAGTGAATAATGTTCTGGAAGGACGGTTGATTTCTACAACAGCACAATTCACATCTGTTGGTCTCATTGTTATGGTTTCATGCTGTTCCTGATGATTCATGGCAAAAGCCTTTTTATTTTGATTCCTAATCAGTGGCAAATGCTAACTGCAGAGATGTTCAGGTTCTGTTATCAACTGCTTCTATCAGTGTAACAGCTGAAGAGCAAGCAAGTTTCTGAATCCATTTATTTTTCAAAAAACTTTTGAGAAACCCGTAAGAAGCTCTCCCAAGCAGCAGCTGACAATGGTAGATTTCCAGGCTTGCCTTATGCGCGTCATCTGAGGGAAAAGATGTAATATTTTGCATTGTGTGTGGCTAAACATGAGAGTCTTGTGGTAGTGTATGGGCCATGGGTGGCTAAACATGAGTCTTGCGGTAGTTTATGGTGCGAGGCGCAGAGCACTGCCTGATTTACTCAGCTGTGTATCCTCTAGCTATGCTGTGCTAATTTTCTACGCTTGGCATGTCTTTAAACAGAATGATGGATGTCAGTTCACCGTGTGGGATGTGTCAGTGTTTGCTAAACATGGTTGTGCCTCTTCATTAACTTTAGATGAACTAGTGGAGGTATTTCACCCTGCGGGAAATATCAATAGTAACACAAGGGTGCTGGCATGAGTTGTATGGTATTATGCAGTGTTTGTTCTGCGTGTTTTATGTCTTCGAGAATTTCTGAAATGATGGAACTTGTTCTTTCAGCACACCAACAATTTGGATGTCCTAGCCTGGTTGGTGTCCTGAGGCTTTGTTTAAAAGTGTGAGGGGTGTTTTTGGTTTTTTTTTTTTGTTTTTAATATACATGTTTCCCCCCCACACACACACTCGTGGTTCATAGATTTGACTATTTCCTAATACTGCTGGGGGACTGGTACACTTCTCTAGCCAAGGAATGAGAACAAGTCTTCCAAAAACAGTGGCAACTTTTAACTTTCCAAACGTACCAGTGATAAGGGCTTGAATTACAGGTGGGAAACATTTAGCTCACTGCAGAAGCGTGTGAATTGAAAAGCCTGAACTGCCCACGGATGCTGTAGCTGGCCCTTCAGCTCGGTGCTGCTGTGGGAACCGTGGAGCTGGTATGGCACTGAGCCCATCTCCGATTCGAGTTGGACGATGAAGAGAACTCGCCTCCCTCTCTCCGCTGCTGGACTAGAAGGAATTGTGTCATGAGACTTTTCTGAAACACCGCTACTTGACTGGAGGATGTATTCTTAGCTTGTAAAGCTGGGAGTAGTGAACCTGTAGGCTGATGGGAATCAAGTGAAGTATCCTGAGGGCAGGCAATAGAAACGAAGCGGCAGCTCTGAAGTGTGTTTCCTAATAGCGTGCGACCTGCTGCCTGTGTCAGTACCTCCATCTCCTGCTCATTCATCTCGTTTTCACGTGACAGCAGGACTGCTTCTCTGAGCTCACTTTCTGTCATTGCTTTGGTTATTGCTAACTTCTTCCTTACCAGGATCTTATTCCTCCTGGCTTCTCACCCCTAAAAAATGCCTGTCGCTCTTGAACTGCCTGCGTTTATTTCTTTAGAGCTTCTGCAAGATGACTGAAAACGCCTCTGACTTTGACTTTCGGATTGGGCAGATGTTTAGCAGTGGCTAATGCTGCTAGAAACGAATCCAACCAAATCAATTAATGGATAAAAATATATATTAATAATACCACTGCGCAGCTGTCCCTCCAAATTTGTTCTTTAAATCTCTTTGATCTTATAAAGCTAAAAAATACTTTTACTCTAATAATATGAGCCAACGCAGTATAGAAATAAATACAGAAATAGATACAGAAATATAGAAATAAAAATAGCTCGTTAATATTGCTATGAAAGTTTCTGACTACAAAATACCTATGAGCTACTTAATCCGTAAAATTTGAACTTTAACATACAAGAAGCCAGAAAGTTAGAGAAGTGAGTTTATTTATAGGGGAGATAAAGAAGTTGGTTCACTGTATACTTTAACGTCCATGGTAGAACAGGTATCCTACAAAAAGGAATTAATGCTATTGTTCTATACAGTAAATGGCATTCAGAGTCCTCAAAGTCGTCTGTTTTTTCTGTTCTGGGGGAGGAATGAGTTGCCTTGAGCCTAAAGCCTGGGGGTAGCTGTCTTGAGTAATGGTGCGCTGATCTCTGGGCAAGACGTTTCTCTGACGCGTACGTAGGGTAGCTCTTCCAGGGGTAGGGCATCCCTGCTTCGTTTCAAAGAGCAGTGTCCTGTGATTAGTGAATTCAAGATTTTGGTTGTCTTTATAAAACAAACTCCAATCTTGTTTGCCCCAGATGATTTTTTTCAAGTACACTAGACAAACCGCATTTGGGCGGTACAGCGTGGTGCAAATTTTAGGAGAAACACATGCCAAAAGAAGCAACTTTTTTCTTTGCTTATCTCTACAGGGAGAGCTGACTTAGCTGATAACTGTTATCTTGCAGTAACTTCTGTTCAGTAATTAGATACCTATTTATTCCAGACCTGCTCTTACAAACTCCATTCCTTCTGGAAAAGGGCAAGCACGAGGCTTCATTTTTGTGTGTCTGCATGTTATGCAAGAGGGTTTTAAACCTGTATTTTGTTGACAAAGATAGGGGTAACAGACACATGGTGACTGTTTGAGGGACCTCTTTGGGACATCTGATTGCAGTATTTAGCAGTACTATCCTTGAAGGAGCAACAGGAAGTCCATTTTGTGCGTGCATAGTTCATCTGCAGTTGTCAGTTGTGCAGGTTGGAAAATAAATTTATCAAATGCTGTGAAAATTTAAAAAAATACATAATGTGGAAGATTATAGAAATCATCTATTGTGAGGATTATGTTTTATATGATTTTAATATTTTAGTGGGTTTTATTTTAGGAATGAAAAGAAAACTCCGACTTAATATTAATTTGATGACAAAGCATACTTTCAGGTAAATGGCAAACTTCCTAGCGGTAGATGCTTCTCCAGAGCTGCGCTTGCGAACGAAAACCTTTCCTGACTGCAGTTCGTGTGCAGCACTGTGCTGTAACCTTTCTTTATGAGAGAGTGACCTAAGCTGTGACTACAGTCTGTCTCCAGTTCACGTGGCTCTTTTAAACTTTCATACTTCTTTTTACCCCTCAAATTGTTGTCTTATGGGTGAGTTTTGACAAGTGCACTGATGTGAACATGGCGCTTAAATGTGGCGTGTAAACATGGCTGGTATTACAGAGAGGGTGTAGGCTAAACTACTCTGGGGCTGGCCTGGCTGCATAAGCTGGTCGCAGCTTCTCTCCCCTGGAAGGACGGGCACTTGATGGGAAGACTGTCCTACAAGACAACCACGAAGCATCTCCAGGCACTCAACAGGGTGGACACACCATAGCGGTAGGGCTTTGTTGTGGCAATGTTGGGAAACAGGCTGGGGAAACCTGTGGATGAACTGAGCTATGTGGCTCTCGCTCTTTGGATGTAGAAGCGGCAGGGCATTCGGAGCCAGGCAGGAGAGCTTGTGCCCTCCTAAAAGCTGGCAAAGCCTAGAGAGCAAGGTAGCCGGCTCATGACGTGGCAGGTAGGAGAGATGTTTTGTTTCTTTTCGAGTCCTGGTGTTCCCACTGCTTTGTCGGTTTGTTCCAGCCTTTCTGCCCACCCATACTTACGTGCCGTGTGTAGTCTCTCTACTCCCCCACAATGACTTATAGCTGTCTGCAGTTTAGGATCAAGCAATTAACGGGATCATCTTCACCACTGTCATTCCTCTTCCTTTGATAAGGATTTGCTGAAATCTTAAGTAGTAATTAAGGCACTCTTCGTCATGCATTTGTTTTTCTGTGTCAATGTATGTTTTTCACCCTTTTGTCTTGCTTATACTTGGAGAATAAAACACGTTTGTTTTTCGAGGTATGAGTATAGCTGCGTTTCAGAACATTTTCAGAGGTAATTTCCATGCTTTTTAAACTGCGTTTGGAGGGCTGTATGAATAAATGTTCAATTCAGGAAATGACTCAGCTATGACAAAGCCAAGAAAACATGTGGAGAAACGCATTTACCAGTAAAACCGTGTTGCTTGGCTGCAAAGTAATGCACACTTTTCAATAACATTTAATAAAATAAAAGCCTCTCTTTTAACGTTTATAATTATGAACGTTATGGATACAGTCCTGAAGCCCAGTATTTCAAGCCACTGACCCTAGCATAGTGGTAAATGTTTTCAAGGGTCAACTGCAGCTACCTAACTGCTTCTAATTAGTTTTACCTAGGCTAACGCACCCACTTTGCCCAAGAAAACACTAAAGCTAGACTTGAGCTTATTTTTACATAGTTACATTTCTTCCTGAGGCATGTCAGGTCAGTAATTAAAAAAAAAAAAAAAAAAAAAGCTAATATCAGCACTGAAGATTATTTGCAAAGAGTATAAAATGTCATTAGTGACACATTTTGCTGAGCTCACATCTTTATTGTATGTTAGCATGTTATGTTGTTCACATTTTAACAGGCTAAATAATAAGTAAATATATATCTATGCATACGCACAAATACATGGCGTCCCTTAAATGATACAGTACTTTTTCAGCTCATCTATAAGGGGCTGTAGCTCATCCCCAAGTCTCGAGGTTGTTATGGGAAGGAGTAAGCGGAATCTTTGCCTGTGTTTTGTGGGTTGCTAACTGAAGAGGTCTTTTGGGCAGAGAAGACTGTTATCACTGGGAATGGGAAAGGCTAGAAAACGAAAAGCCAGCTACTACTTGTGCCGTCTGCTGCCCTTATATAAGAGGGGGACAAATGTATCTGAGGTAGGAGCTGCCTATGGGTCGGAGCTGCTAGGTTAGGGAGGAAATAATAGAGGCAGGGCAACAGAGGGAAAGAATGGCATTTAGTTTGCAGCCTGTGTAGGAGAGGAAAGGGGAAAACATAGTTCTACCTCCCCTTCTTGAAAAGAGATAAAACTCTTTAAGCATGTATGTTGGCATGTTCATGAATAAGAAATTATCTATTAAGCTGAAGGGAGCCTCAGAAATGTTACTGAATGGATCATGCTTAAGGAGTATGAAAGGGGTCTTTGTAATTTTATATGAACAAGCTATACTTACCTATACGCATCAGACAGGCTACTAATGAAAAAAAGAAATTTTTTTTTTATGGTCAGCTTCTTTTGAAATCTGTAACTGTCTGTACATATGCTGCACACCTGGAAGCTGATCTAAGATTTATGTGACTGTCTTTCCCCCAGGTATTGATTATAAGACTACAACTATACTTCTGGATGGCCGACGAATCAAGCTACAGCTCTGGTAAGTGTGTGTTTCATCTTTCCTCATAATTTATAGTTCAGAGATGCAAAGAATGCAGCTCTTCAGGGCAGGAATCATCATCATATTTAGCCAAATGAAGAAGAAGAATGATCCAGGTAGCTAGCACTTAATGCAAGTCACTTGCTTTTTCTTTACCTCCATTTTGCATCCATTTAATGTAAAATGTGGGATCCTAGAGTTTCTTTAAATTAGATGTGTAATAAATACAGAATGAAGGTACAAAAGATTACACTTAGCTATACTGGTAACAAGGACCATGCAAATACCTTAGAAAACATACTGTGGTTGTATAGCAACGGCCTTCAATTTATTAGTAATGGTGGTCAGGGTGCCTAAAGAGCCACCGTGTTACAAAATTAAACTCAAAAAAAGTAGCATTATTGCTCATGATGATTTCAAATTGTATAATTTCATTGATATGCAATCGGATTTGATTTGATCCTAGCAAAAACACGTGGAGAACAAGTAAGCATTTTGCAACAAAGTGATATAACTCAGAAGAGGCGGTAATGCTGTTGCCTCTTAAAGAGGTGGTTTTCCTTCTTCCCTAAACTCATGGCACAAAAGAGGGAGAAGTAAGGTCAGTGCAGGACAGGGAGGAGAGGGAATGTGATTTGAGGAAGCATAATCCAGATGAGTCAGAGGAGCAGGTCCTAGGAAAAAAGTGTTCGGATCAGGTGGAGAAC